CCCGGGGGACGGGGAGCGCAAGGCCGGCGACAAGGACGACGGGAAAGGCGACGACGGACAGGTCCGGGCCGCGCGGCCTTCGAGTGCTGCCGGGGTTTGCAGGAAGGAGAATGGAGCCTCTTGGATAGCGGGGCATCCGCAGAAGCCGAAGTTAGACGGCTGTGTCCTGGGTGGGGTGGAGGGAAGCGCAAGCCTCGGGCTCTGCTGTGGAGCGTGGGGGGGGTCCGCTGATAAAGGCTGGAGGGGAGGCTGACACACTCATTCGTGGTCCTGTCTGCAGGCTGAAAGCGGCAGTGCTAACGGTGACAAAGCTAAGAAATCTGAGGGCGATGGGGACAAGGAGGAGAAGAAAGAAGACGCCGAGAAGGAAGCCAAAAAGGTAAGCCATCTCTCGCATGGGGTCAGTGTGTCAGGGCTGGGGTCCCGGTCTTCCGACTCCCCCTCTGCTGTGGCTGTCACAGAGCGGCAAGAAGCGGAATCGGAAGCACAGCGGCGACGACAGCTTTGATGAAGGCAGTGTGTCGGAGTCGGAGTCGGAGTCGGAGAGCGGCCAGGCCGAGGAGGAGAAGGAGGAGCCGGGTGGGTCTCTTCCCGCTTCCAGTCTGTTCTCTTCCCACGCTGTGGGGGCGGGTGAGAGGTTGGGAAGCCGATGGGAGGGTGGCTTTTTGGGGAAGCCTGCTGGGGAGGCAGCGACAGCTTCTTTATTCTTCCTACCAAAATCAATGACAAAAACTCACCAACTCCTACCAACGTCCTGCACAGCCGAAGCACTCAAGGAAAAGGAGAAGCCCAAAGAGGAGGAGAGGGAGAAGCCTAAGGACGCGGCAGGGCTGGAGTGTAAGCCCCGACCCCTGCATAAGACTTGCTCTCTCTTCATGCGCAACATCGCGCCCAACATCTCCAGGGCTGAGATCATTTCTGTGAGTGGGGGAGACGGAATCGGGGCAGGGCTGATTCCAGGCTCTGTGTTCGCGGTCGAGGGGTGGAGAGAAGGCCGTCTGGCACTGCCTTGACCGATATCCCTCCATATAGTATGGCGGCCTCCCTCCCCGGGGGCCATGTCCTCTGAAGCTGGTTCTTGTGCCGTGAGCTTTAAGGTGCTGGCATTCTTAGGCCCCCCTCCCTTTTGGAGTCAGTCTCACTTTGCTGCCTAGGCTGGAGTGCAGTGGCATGCTCACGGCCACCGCAGCCTTGACTTTCTGGGTTTGGTCATTCTTCTGCCTCAGCTTTCCAAGTATCTGGAACTACAGGTTCGCGCCACCACACCCAGCTTTTTTGTTTATTGTAGATGAGGTCTTGTCAAGTTGCCCAGGCTGGTGTTCAACTCCTGGACTCAGGCAGTCCTCTTGCCTCCACTCCCCAAAGTGCTGGGATTATAGGCGTGAGCCACTATGCCCGGCTTCTTAAGCCCTTTACTGGTTATTTCTTGCCCAAGGATGGGAAGGATTTAAAGGCAGTTCCCCAGGGTTCTGGGGACAATGAGGATTAGAGGAAGAAGCAAATTCTTGAGACATTAAACGGGGTTTCTGTTTCTCTGCTTCTTGCAGCTTTGTAAAAGATACCCAGGCTTTATGCGTGTGGCACTGTCAGAGCCCCAGCCAGAAAGGAGGTGAGGAACTAGATATCTTGGAGGAAATATGGAGGGAAAGGTTAATGGCCTTCACCCCAGCTATGCTGACATTTTCTTTCTTGGGTAGGTTTTTCCGTCGTGGCTGGGTGACCTTTGACCGCAGTGTTAACATTAAAGAGATCTGCTGGAACCTGCAGAATATCCGAGTGAGTGCCGGCTGTGGGACTGTCTGGGGAGAGAAAGTGTGGTTTCCCAGGCCCCACGTCACCTCTGACCTCCTTGTTCACTCTCTGCTTCATTCATTCCGCCACCTTTTGTATCCGTTCAACCTGCTCGCCTTGTCTGGTCTTGTGTCTGGGCCAGGCTCTGGGGCTGTCACCATGGACGAGGCGTATCTGACGCTGGTCCCCGTCCTCAGGGAGTTCGCAGTCTAGTCAGTCCTGGGCTCTCGGGGCGGGGGGGGGGGCTGGTCATGGAGCCGCTGCTGCTCTTCTCAGCTCGGTAACCGAGCTTTCTGACCACGTGCTCCCTCCAGCTCCGGGAGTGCGAGCTCAGCCCGGGTGTGAACAGAGACCTGACCCGCCGCGTCCGCAACATCAATGGCATCACCCAGCACAAGCAGATCGTGCGCAATGACATCAAGCTGGCGGCCAAGCTGATCCACACGCTGGACGACAGGACCCAGCTCTGGGCTTCGGAGCCCGGGACTCCTCCCCTGCCGACAGTCAGTGACTCCCTGTGGGACCTCTCCAAAGCAGCCACACCCCCTCTGTGGGCGCCTCACGCCTCACCAGTCTGTAGTCCCGACCCTGGGTGCCCATCCACCCCCTTCCTCACCCGGCCCTCTTTGTCCTGGTAGCACCGCCTCCAGCTTCCAGCAGAATACAGATGGGTGGCAGTGACTGTTGGTGGGCTGGGGCAGAACAACGGCAAAGCCGAGACAAAGGCTGAGGGGGCGAGGGACAGTTGTGCCAGATGAGCCTCAAACTCCTTGCCCTTGTGTTGCCTTTGCAAACGTGGAAGCTCACCCCACGAAGGTGAGCCGAAGGGCTTTCCCTGTCTCACTTGGCTCTCTCCCCCCGCCAGAGTCTGCCCTCGCAGAACCCCATCCTGAAGAATATCACTGACTACCTGATCGAGGAAGTGAGTGCCGAGGAGGAGGAGCTGCTGGGGAGCAGTGGGGGGGCCCCCCCCGAGGAGCCTCCCAAGGAAGGGAACCCGGCAGAGATCAGCGTGGAGCGGGACGAGAAGCTCGTCAAGGTGCTGCTGCGGCCGCGCGTGGGGCGCAGGGAGCCTGGCGCAGGCAAGGGGAAGAGTGGGGAGCTGAGGGCTGCTGCTTTGCCCTAGGTCTTGGACAAGCTTCTCCTCTACTTGCGTATCGTGCACTCCCTGGATTATTACAACACCTGCGAGTACCCCAATGAGGACGAAATGCCTAACCGCTGTGGCATCATCCACGTTCGGGGGCCCATGCCACCCAACCGCATCAGCCACGGAGAAGGTGAGCTGCGGCTCCCCATTGCCGAGTGGCCTAGAGTCCCTTTGCCCAGACTGCCGTGGGCCTCCTTCCCTCCTCCAGGCCCCTCCCACTCTCCTGCTGGTGCTTGGGGCTGGACTCCCTGCTCCAGCCCTCCTTTCTCTGTTCCCAAACCACAGTGCTGGAGTGGCAGAAGACGTTTGAAGAGAAGCTGACTCCACTGCTCAGTGTGCGGGAGTCTCTCTCAGAGGAAGAGGCCCAGAAGATGGGTCGCAAAGATCCTGAGCAGGAAGTGGAAAAGTTTGTTACCTCTAACACCCAGGAACTGGGCAAGGATAAGTGGCTTTGTCCTCTCAGTGGCAAGAAATTCAAGGTCTGGGATGTTAGAGAACTGGTGTTCTAGAATGGTGGGAGGTGGGCTTGAGTGAGGCAGGAAGGCCCCCGAAGGCCTGCGGAATCAGGGGCGGGCACTGCTCACTGGACTGGCACAGAGGCTGGTGATCCTTCCAGGTTGGGCCTAGGAGTGAGGGACCCACATTACTTGCCCTGTCCTGACCCTTTTCCTTCTCCACCCAGGGTCCTGAGTTTGTGCGCAAGCATATCTTCAACAAGCATGCAGAGAAAATTGAGGAAGTAAAGAAAGAAGTGGCATTTTTTAACAATTTCCTCACTGATGCCAAGCGCCCAGCTCTGCCTGAGATCAAGCCGGCCCAGCCACCTGGCCCTGCCCAGAGTAAGATACGATCCATGAGGGTCTGCCGGTCCCCTCTCCCTTGACTATCCAGGGAAGGCTTTTTCTCATTAATCTGTCATCCCCTGAGAACTTTCCCCTTCACCCCCAGGCCATAGTCCTGGAAGTCTGTTGTCACCCCTGCACACACTGCTCCCCTCCCCCCCCCCCCCCCGCAGTAATTCATGTTCCTGTCCGTGTTGTACTCCCCCCAGGCCTGACCCCGGGAATTCCCTACCCGCACCAGACTCCCCAGGGCCTGATGCCCTACGGTCAGCCCCGGCCCCCGATTTTGGGCTATGGAGGTAAGTACCGGAGGGAGATGAAAGGGCTTGGTAGTTATGTGGGGCAAGGAGAATGAAAACCTCAGCTGGATGCAGCTGAGGACACACTTTAGCTCCCCACTGATCTTTCTCATAGCTGGTGCTGTCCGTCCTGCAGTCCCCACAGGAGGGCCTCCATACCCCCACGCCCCGTACGGTGCTGGCCGAGGGAACTATGACGCCTTTCGAGGCCAGGGTGGTTACCCTGGGAAACCTCGGAACAGGTAAGAATGAGCTATGATGTCCAGTTTTCTTGCCTCCTTCAGAGGCTCTTTGAGGAACCCCCAGCTCATCCTGTTTTACCTTCCTCATCTCAGGATGGTTCGTGGAGACCCAAGGGCCATTGTGGAATATCGTGACCTGGATGCCCCAGATGATGTTGATTTCTTTTGAGCCGTCCACTTTTCCTCACTCCTGCATCATCCATACTTGTGACTGCCTTTTCCCATGTAGCTCTGAGAATTTTTTTGTACGATCAGCCTTACTGCCAGTAAAAGCACTTCCACAGAGATCCTTGACCCACTGTATGTTTTATGTTTGTGTATGTATGTATACTCACATTTTTTTAAGGACAGGGTCTTGCTCTATTTCCCCAAGGCTGGAGTACAGTGGTGTGATCCTAGTTCACTGTAACCTCTAATTCCTGGGCTCAAGTGATCCTCCTGCCTCAGCCTTCCTGGTAGCTGGGACTTGATGCATGCCACCGTGCTTACTTAATTAAAAAACTTTTTTTGGTAGAGATGGGGTCTTGCCATGTTGCTCAGGCTTGTTTTGAACTCCTGGCCTTCAGCTACCCTACTTTGGCCTCCCTAATTGTTGGGATTACAGGCGTCAGCCACCACACCTGGCCTCTGTGTTACGTATCTTCCCAAATCCTCTCAAACATTGGTCGGGGTCATGTTAGCTGGGTTTTGCCACTTTATTATTGATGCCAAAGGCCACAGGCTCTACGGGACACCTTTGAGAAGAAAACAGGTGCACATGTACGGGACGAGTCTCAGTCCGTGGCGTGCTACTGCTCTTCAGAGTTACGGCTGGTAAAGCACAGGTTGTAGAAGGAGTTGGGGTCGAAGGCTGTGCTTACCTCTCGCCAGCTCACCCACCCGGCCTCCTGCAGTTCACGGGGGCTTTTTGGAGCCCCCCAGTAGTGAGGGTCCAACACCAGGACGTAGGCTTCGGTGTCTGGCCCGACGCAGACTCCCAGCAGGGCCTTGGATTGGGCATCGGCGTCCCCCCCAACCATTACCGGGCCTCCGCCCTCTGCGAAGTGGGAGTAAAGCCTTTCCAGCTCCCCGCGAAGTCCCGCGCCACGGGGCACGTGGCACAGGCGCCCCTCAGGCCCTTCGAAGTGGGCGAGGCAAAGGTTGGCTTCTACACAGCCGATCCAGTTCCGCGAGCCGCAGAACCCGGGGGGCTTGTCGCCCACGTCCTCCAGGGCCGCCTGCACTGCAGCCAGCCCGGGCACGCCCGCGGGCCGGCCTCGGGGCCACGAGCACAGCGTCTGCAGCGTGCGGTAGCCACAGCCCCAGCCCCGGTCGTCCGTCCCGTCGCAGCCGTAGTGATAGTAGAGGTAGTGGCCCGAGAGGA